TACAAAGGCCACATGGGCAAACCCTTATCCCCCGCCGTTAGAATTGCTACTAGAATTATTATTTTATTTTAAGCCCTTTATATATATATATATATATATATATATATAGCGTTATCATAGGATTTTTTGTTATTATTACCTAACTCTTAATACTAGAAAAGTATTATAGCCTTGCTACTACTACAAACCTAGTAGCCTTACGTTACTAATTAAGCTTATTAAGCTTATTAAATAAGCTAACTTTACGTAGCTTGATTAATTGTTTATTACTAAACCTTACCTTGGCTTGCTTGAGTATACAGCTTGACAAGCCAGCTTGATATCAATCAAGCTGGCTTGATTGTTGACATGTCTGTCGACTCGCCGACGTGGTAAACTACCTGCTATATCAATGTATGCAAACCTTCAACTATCTATCACATTTAGTCTGAGATAACTGTCACTTGCAATACTACACCCTCTTGGCGCTTTGCTTCACCTCTAGTCTCCGATGACGGTCTTAACCACGTCAAAAATCATGGTCTGGAGACTCAACATGCCCATCATACGGTGCGCACACCTCACGCTACACTTAGATCATCTGACGACTACCAACCTCCCGCACGCACACACGTTGGCACGAATAATAATGGAAATGAATAGCAAGTTGGGATCTTGCTCGCTTCTTACAAAAAAGGTAGGCGCCGTTCCTCCACTTCCGATGGTGAAAGCTCTCCCGAGGAGAACAAAGCTGACGGCACCATTGCGAACAAGAAGCCGAAGGTCAACTCTACCAAAAATTCCACCCCCAATTTTAGCAAGTAAGCTCTTGAGTTACCAGGTTCTCAGAGCTTGAAGCGGGTGAAACTCGTTACACCGTCAATACTGGCAATCATAGATAAAGAATATTGATCGCAATAGTAGGTTGAACACCTTTGAGTACCGCAAGAAGAATGTTCCACTCGAGTGGCATCTACCGTGCCCGCGCGCGTAATGGCTGTGTTCGCGTAATTGCTACCCTAATGATATAATATATACTATACATATAAGGTTATTATGCTGTAGATAATAAATATTATAATAAGATATTTTAGGGTAGTACTATATAGTAGTATAGCTATTATATCCTATTTAAATTAGCCTAGTAAAATGATATTTTATTAATAGTAAGTAGTAGCTAGTAAAGGTACTAATATACATACCTTTACTACCTTATTTTAATTAGTACTACTTATTTAGTAATATTTAGGCTAGTTTTAATATAAGTATAAGAATAAAGCCTTATACTTACTTAATTAGGGTTGTTTAATATAATTTTAAATATTATTCTATAAGTTTTTAGCCTTCTATATAGTAGCTTTTTAAGCCTTTTTTCTTTATTATATTACTTTTATTCTTTAATACTTAATGTTTCTCTTTTTAGAGAGCTCTTTCTTATTTAGATTATTAGCTATTTCAAGGTTATATATTTACAGTTACTTAAGCTTAATTTCTGTATTCTATAACTTTTTTTATTATCTTTTAGTACTAGTTTTTTAATTATATTTAGTAAATATAATAATACTATATAATAATTAGTTTTTTATGTTCTTAAATAGTAAAGTATTTACTAGAATCTTAGTAGTATTTTAACTTAAGTAATAGTAAATATTATAATCTTTAGGTTTAACAAGTAAGTAACGTACCCTATAGGTAAGTTGGACACACGGGTGAGTTAGACACTCTACTAAGATCCTACTAAAACTACAACTCTCTATATAATATCTTAATAACTACAACAATTAGGACCTTTATAAGACGCTAGAATATAGCTTGCGCTCTAGGCTCTTAAATAAGACGTAATACTTGTATTATAACGCGCTATAACCCTCTATAATATCTCCTATACTACACTCTATAATTAACGCGCTAGCTAGGCTTTATAAGGGGATTCTATCCCTAAATTAAGAAAGTTAGATAAGATTAAGGAGGAGGTAATTCTTAGGTATATACTTAACCTAGTAGAGTAAGGATTTCCCCCTTAGCTAGTAGCTATTACTAATATAGCTAATTCTCTCTATAATAAGCATAATCTACACTATATTAGTATAAATTAGTCTAGTACCTTTGTTAAGTGCTAAGTAGAGCTTAAAGTATAGTTTAATTATAACTATAACTATAAGAGAGCTCTCTATAAGGATCCGAAGGTTATCTAGTACTAGTTCTAACTAGTAGCTAATATAAAAGCTATGTATAGTATTTATAATAAGGATATATATAACTTTAATATAATAGGCTTTATAATAGGTATAATATTTATAGGAGCTAATATTATAGCTTTAGAATATTAAGATTAAGTAAAGATAGTCTAACAAGGTAACTATAAGTAAGTTATAGTTATTTAAGGTATTAATACTACTAGCTAGGTCCTTCTACCCTTTATTATCTTTAAAGGTAAGTATTACCTCTTTACCTATTATAAGGAGGATAACCTACCTTAGGACTAGGTTAATATAGTTTCTAAGAATAGCTAGATAACTAATAAGCTTAGGTTTAAGTAGTTAGAGTACTTTAATACCTATATAGAGAAGCGTATAGTTAGAGGATACTAGCTACTACTTATTAATAGTTATAAGAGCTATAACTTACTTTAATTCTAATAGTACTATAAGGATAATAAGATTATTATCCTCTGTATACCTCCTTATTTATTACACCTCCTCTAGCTACTTAATATAGGTTATTTTATACCTTTAAAGTAGGTATATAGATACTAAGCTAAGAAGCTAATATATAACTAGATTACCTATATCTTAAAGCTTAAGTTCCTAGGTAGATACCCTAATTAAAGGTCTAAAGGCTTAGGATGGTCCTAAGTAAAACAAAGCAACCCACACTAGCGCCGCCACACTTCTCGCCAGGCTGCAGAATAGACCCCACAGACGGTCTTACTAAGAAGGAGGCTATAGAACGCTTTAATAAGTGGTAGCAGAAACGTAACTTATTAGAGCTTACTATCTTCTCTAATAAGTTAAAGTAGCGTATAGAGGGTAATAGAGTTATTACCTATAGCTTTACTATATACTAGGCGTAGTTAATAATTACCTATAGTAGTAGGATATTATACCTAGACTTATATATCTTTAATATAGAAGTAGTAGGCACCCTTTAGGCCGTCTAGTGCGCTATATAAATAGGGATCTAATTTACTAGAGCCTAGATATATATAAATAGTACTTTAGTAATCTAGGGCCTATAAGGTAGCGCCCTAATAAGCTTCTAGTAGGCCTTCCTAGCCTACTACGCTATAATAGAAATATATAATATTAAAGTCTGCTAGTTACTAGGATATAAAGGTATTATTAAAAATAAGAAAGTAGACTCCCTTACTAATATAGAAGCCTAAAACCTAACTCTACCTACTAGTATAGCTAGGTAGGCTATAGTATTAGGTATAAGGTTAATAGCTAAGAAAATACTTAACTAGATAAGATAGGATAGTTAGGATATAAAGAAGGCTAAGCTATCTACCTAGTATAACTAGTAGGAGTATAAGTATAGTATAATAACCTTACTACTATACCTAGACCTAACCTAACTAACGCTTACTAAACTTCTTACTATCTACTCTAGATATAGTAACTTTAAATAGTATTATAAGAAGTTTAACTACCTAAATACTAAGCTAAACTACTTATATAGCTAGCTAAAGATACCTAAGTATATTATACTATACTAGAAAACTAAGGCGTTAGCTATTTTTTATAGATAGCTATAACGCCTAATATACCCTCCTACCTAAGGGCAGGAGTGGATCTAATACCTCTAAGGTATACTTAAGAACCTAGAGGACTTTAAGGTATTACATTAAGTTACTAGGTTCTATAAGAATACCTATAACGTGATCCACCACCAAGCGCCTACCCCCACCGAGCGCCTACTAACACTAAAATCCACCACCCACTAAATAAGGATATTGCGCCACCTACAATAGCTATTATCACAAGATTTTTTAGAGTCGCGATTATTAGATCTATTAGAGTAGATTAAATATTTTAGATTATATAAGCAGCTTTTTAGGGGGTCTAATTAGGCGCCTATGCTATAACGTTGCCTCTACTACTATATCCTCTTCTACTAGCTCCTTATTAACTACCTTAGCTAGTATAATAGTAGGAGGCTTAAGGATTTACCTCTTACCTATTTAGGATAATTTAATATTATTTTAGAGTTACTTTTCTAGTTACTTAGTAGTTTTTTACTTATTACGTGTAATAGCTTTTTAGGTAGCTTTCTCCTCTTACTCCTTCTTAGTAATTACTTAATTTAAGTAACGCTCCTCTATAAGTTAAGCTTTAGTAAGCTTCTATTACTTATAAAGCTTAATTACTTTACTTTTTTAGTATTATAGCTCTTATTCTTTAAGGTTCTTTTGCTCCTAGAGCTTAAACACTTACTCTACCTTTAATAGTAAAATAAATTAGGCACTACTACTATAATTATTATTAGGGGGTAATAATAGAGGTTTACTACACTTCCTACGCTTCTTTATATTAGCTAGGGTAGCCCTAAGGTATTTATTTTTATAGTTAAGTAGAGTATTTCTTACTAATATAGTATAAATTATCTAGCTAAGCTTCTTTAACTATTTATTATAAATATTAATTATAGTATTATATAGTAACTACTCTATCTTTCTCTAATTACTTATACTTAATATTAAGATTATACTATTACTTAAAGAAGGCTAGTTACTATTATTTATAGGTGCTTTAAACCTTAAAAGAATAATATTAGGGTTAAGTAGTAAGATACCTATTACTTTAAAAGCTATTAATATTAGCTTTTCCTTAAAGGTATTACTCTATATAGTATTAAATAACTAGTAGAAATCCCTCTTAGTAATACTTATAAGCCCTTAGGAGCTATCTAGAAAACTAGATAGTTAAGCTTTATATAAAGCTACAAAGGGAGCAAATACTATAATATTAAGTAGCTAAAGGGTATAAGTGCTATAAAGGGGATATATTATAAGTAGGATCTTATATTTATTATAATACTTAATAAACTCTATTATTATATAAGATCTATAGCTATTAAGGATAAGGAGCTAGTATAAAGTATAAGCTTTAGCTTTTGTCTTATAATTAAATACCTCCTTAAGCTAGGATACCCCTAGGGTGTAGCTTATCTACCTACTTAGTAATCCTATAAAGAAAGCTTAGTATTATAATAGGTTAAAATCTTATAACTAGGTATCTTATAAAGCTCTAGATTAGGACTAATAAATAAGGGTAAAGGTAAGAGTAGTACTATTAGCGTATATACAAGCTATAGTAGTAATCTACTCCCTATTACTATCCTAGAGTATAGCTCTAATCTTTCTTTGCTTATAGGCGCTCTTATTAAATATATATTTAGTTTTTAATAGTACTCTAATAAGAAAACCCTTCTTATCTATATTATAGATATACTAACTATTAATATTATATTACTCTATTTTTTAGTATAAAAGCTTAAAGTATAAGCTATACTTAAAGGTAGAATTAGTGTGGAAATTTAGATCACTAAGGTTAGGAATAATTTAAGAGATAGATTATTAGATTGTATCTACTACAATTGTACTCGTATATATAGAGCTTTAGCTACCCTTACTAGAAGGTGAATAATTAGTAAACCTTCCTTACTAGAGCTCCTACTTTTTATTAGGCACTTAGTAGTAAGCTAGCAGTTAATTAGATAGTGGGTTATATAGGGGTATTAATTAGGATTAATTAGATTAAGATACTCTATAATCTAGTTAATATCCCTCCTATAACACACCCCCTAGGTATAGGTAGATCTTTTATTATTATAGTTACGCTTATAGTTAGTAGG